GGGCTGAGGGGCGGGGAGCGGCGGACCAGGTGCTGCGGCCCGGGCGGCGGTGCCGGAACGGTCTCTTTCGCCCCCTTTTCCAACCGGTTTTCAGCCATCCTGAGGGGTGACTCCTCCCCCCCGGATAACCGCGTACGTCTCCTGGACGGTTTCGGCCTCACCTGCAAGGGAAGAGTCTGGATTGAGCTTAAATTGCTTTTTAGTCGTCGTGTCGCGAATTCCCCCGGTGAGGAGGTGCAGCCCCCGCCTGTGCCGCTCCTCGGCCGGACTGAGGCGCCCACCCTCTGGGCCCGGGTGTCACCCCCCCAAACCCCTCTTCAGGCACACACGTGCAAGAGAAGTTTTATTTACGAAAGAGATTTCGATGAAAATTTCTTGAAAGTCAAAAAAGACGATGCAAGTTTACGGCGGAAATGACTTAAAATATAACAAATTGCACAAAGTATTAACACTGATCATACAATATTTCAAAGATTAACAGGCATGTGCTAAAGAAACTGTAGAGTCTAGAAATATCCCAAATATATCTAGTTTACAGATTGCTGTACAAAAAGCTGATATAAATACTTCACATCTAGAAAAAATACACAGAACCTTTGAAATAGACTTTCCCTTACATATAAACAACCTCTGTAGAAAAAACAAAAACACCCAGTACAGGCCAACCCCCCCTGCTCTTAGATATGTTTGAACTAGTACTGGTTAGCACCAACATCTTCTTTAAGTGTGTCACAAACAGGAGGTGAGTTTTGATTTTCAAAAATAATTTTAGTGTTTACAATTTCATTAAGACCACATGGGGACTACAAAAGATAACACAATATGCTACATTCATAATTTGATAGGAAATGAGTCCAGAGGAGGTGGAAGCACAGGAACTAGGCTGCAGTCAGAAGAACAGGGCGGTTTGTGTAGTTCTCATTCATACACGACTCCCGTTTGTGTCAGCAGTGAATTACTTTGACCCTGATCTTTCAAACAGTTATGCACATGATTGATGAAGTCAATACCAGCAGTATTAGGCCTTTTAATCTATTCATTCTCTTGCCACATCAAAAGTCAAAACCCTTGCGAAATAAGACACCTGTTGTGAAGCTGTGAGAACTGAAATGCACATTTCCCTAGAACACCTGTATGGAATTGCACTAAAAATTAAAATATGTTTTGTAAGAGGGAGTCCAAGGAAGTTTATTACAGACAATTTGGCAGGCTCAGGTTGATGGTAACGCAGTGTTTCTACATACAGTTTTAAGACTAGAACAATTATAAATCTTTTTTAAAAAAATCTAACTTTTCTTGTTAATATTAACATCAATTTCTTTAAGTTAGTAATCTGCCATTACAGGAGCATAGCACCAGTTTAATATTTATTGCTGTCATTTATCCCTACAAATATATTTTCCCAAGATATTTACAACTGTACAAATATTCACAAAAGTGCAAAATTAAGACTTTATTCTGTGTAACCATTCGTTGTGTTCAGTGTTGGGTCTCACGCATCACGATGACTGCCGTCTTGCCTTTCTTATTGCTGTGTGGTGAAAAGTCAGAACGCCCTGCTGTCAGTACAGCGACTGGGAGTGAGAATATCCAACAACTGTCTCTTCTCCCCCCTCACTCCCCACTCGCCTTCAGCTCCGTTACGTGCCGCAGTCACAGCCCACTGGAAAGTGTCTCTATACATCGTTCGAGCCTTGGCTGGCACAAGAGGAGAAGCTATCGTATAGAGAATCGCTCAAGGACTCTAAATTGTCCATGTCGTGCCTGCCCGAGCTATTTAAGGAAGCTTCTTCTTTCTTTCCATTTTCTTCCTTTTGTCCTTCAACCTTGTTCAGACAGTTCTTCTCTTTTTCAAATGAAAGTACGTTATTGCTGTTAAATTTATTGAGAGACTCCAGGGAAATTTTAGATAATCTATTCTGGGAATCTTCTTTTGTTTCTTCAGTTTGCTTCAATTTCTGTAATGAGTGAGGGAAATATTAGAAACATGTTTCTTATGAAAATAAAGTTATCCTACTGTGCACCACTAATTACCATCTTTCCAAAGTTCACAGGGTTAAAGGAAATAGATTGTTAGATGCTTGAATATCTGTTATAATTAAATAGAACATTAACATTAATTTTAGGATAAATCATAACTTCAGTGATTCTGCTGAGACAAATAGGACTCCATTTACAAAACAGTTAAGTGCTATTAACGTCTTCAGCAGCAGATCCTGCCTATGCATGGGTTCAGCATCTCCAGCATCTTCGTAGTAATTTTCATCTTCTCCTTTAAGAATACTTTAGGGGGTATGTTTAAACAGGTATTTGTTTGGAGTCTGCTAAAAAAAAAGGTGCATAGAAATGTTCAGAGGAGAAAATAGCATTTTCCATAAATTACAGATGCAAATTAAACTTGCTAGAGAATAACCTCACGTTTTGCATGTGTAAGCCTATTGATTTCCATGGACCCAAACCCTCTCTAATAGACAAGAAAGCAACAAGACAGGAAATTATACTGAACTGGGCCAATCCCCACAGAGCAGAATCAATCAGATATTGGCCAGGGCTACTTGGAGAAGTGTTGTAATTCTGTGGGAACACCGGACAATGTATTAGCACATTATATTAAAAACGCTCAGTAGGATTATACAAGAGTAATTTTATCCCTTTGTTAGCTACTGGTATTTTTCAATCGGAGATCTGACCAAGGAGTGGTTAGGGAACTGCATAGGGAGCAGTTCAATAAAAATAACCTGCCGTTCATACACAGGGTGTTTCAAAATCTGTGTAACTAACTCCTCTTACAGATAATATTATCACAGAAATATGAGATAACGTTTAACATTTTACACTCAACATTCAACAGCCTCTTGGAGAGGTAAGATGCAAGAATCTCTGAGATACGCTGTCAGAGTGCAACCCATTCCTCATTTTTGGTATTACCATCAGATAGCGAAGACTGAATCTGTAAATTACTGTCAATCCAAGGCATTAGTATTTTGGTTTCGATAGAAAATGAAATGGTATTTTAAGCACACTGAAAATACAGCATGGCCAGATGTATGGATGATGTGGGTCATTACATATGCAGTTTGTAAAGGGTCATTGGAATTTCTCGAAGATTTCAAGTTTCAGTTAAATCAAACGTTGTTCTGCTTATCCCTGGAAATCTTCGGCAAGAGGAAGACAAACTGTTATGTAGTTTGATTGCTTGTTCTTCTGGCTAGTTAGATAAAAATCAAAATGCCAGTCCAATGACTTTATGTTGTGATCTTGTCATATGTCATAAGCTAACAATGCCAGGATTACGTTAGTATTTTCATGAAATGGTTCAAACAAACTTAAGCAAAGCAACAGGGGATGTGAAATTAAATGTAAATTTTCTTTTTGGTTCAATAATTAATCTTTGGTCTAAAGGGTTTTAGGAGATGCTATGCTAGATTCTGATTTTAGATGACAGCTAAAACTAAGGTCTTCAATACCTGTAATTACAATGTTTTCTGAAATAGAGGAATATAACCCTTGGTAACGAGAACAAACACAAATTTAGGAGACTTCAATAAAAATTCTCCACAACTTCAGCTTAAAATGTTCTTCCCTTAGCCCTCATTTAAAATATTATACACTGTTACTGAGACAGTAGTTTCACTTCTCTGTAGACCAGATGAGAAAATTCTCAGACATGGCATCAATAACGTACATACTAGCACTTTTTGCTCTTCAGAGTACTAAACCTAAAATACTTTATTATATGACAGACTAAATGATTTTTCTTTGTGTATACTTTTCCCACTTCACAGCTTTTCTTTAGCTAAATTGAATGTGGCTACTTAGCACAGACTTGGGTCTGCAAGAAGTCAATACTGGTGTTAGGAAGGTCTATGATAAAACTTTTATTGATTCAAATGGAGCCATTTTCAAATTTTGGGCAGGGGGAGCAGAGACACCTAGAGTATTTGCTGCACAGAGCAGTCCAGATGAAGTATCTACAAGTAGCATCTCCAGCTGGCTGATTTAAACCACATGACAGACTGGAATGGTTTCAGTGGTATATTTTGCATATATGTAGCGTCAATAATTTATTATACCCTACAAGCACAACCTAGACTAGTCCTACTTTAATCACACCCTCGTTTCTCATTTAATATAAGGCTAACAGTTTATAAAAGGTATTAGAGAAAGTGCAGGGAACAAAACTATTCTCTACGAATTTTATGCAAAATCACTGAATCAAATGAAATTGAAGTGAAATGAAGCCCATTGGTGAAACCCACTGGCAAAAGATACACATAGTAGTGAAGACTACTGCTACAATACATCAAGAATTAAAGGAAAAACTATTTATAAAAGTTGTTGTAGCAAACTTTATTACTAAAATAGAGCCAGAATTCAGAATTAAATTAGGGATTTTTTTTTTTTGACACACAGTTGTCCTTTTTAGATGTCTTAATGCCCAGTTACATGCTTTTCTAAAAAAAATAATTATCTTTTCCCTTCTTTAACACATTACTGCAATAGTATGCAAGTATGCAAAGCGAATGCTTGTGTCATGTGCAAAGTAATACACTGTGTTTTCTCATTTGATGTAGGTGTAATTTGTTTGGCTACACATTGTTTCAGGCCACCTACTGCTGATTTTATAATCAGGTAAGAATGTGGGGTCATCTGGATGGGACTTTTGGTAGGGAATTAACATTCTAGAGCTGTACTCAAATACCAGATGTACAATATGTACAATATGATCTTATCTCATGATTTTATTAGAACAGCTGCACTTAAATCTGTTACATTTTCTGTTAAATCGTATATGGAATAAAAATATATTTGTAGTTAGAAAGCTAAAATATGATATTCTAGTCCTTGGCACATAGAAGAAAACTCATTCACAGCCTCAGATCCATGAGCAAAAATAAAGAAAACTTTAAGCAGAGATATTAATGTAAGAATCTGCATAAACAACAAATCCTTCTCTCCCAAAGGAACCAAATTATGTACATTCCTAGAGTTGAAAAGTCACTGATAATTTCTTCAAAGTTGGTGTTTCAGAACAAATGTTACCTCAAGTTCTTTAAGATTTTTTTCTCTAGTTACTATGGATACAATTTGGAAAAATTACCAAAGAGTATTTATTTAGATTCATCCTTAATTAAGTTTCTTATTTTTCATGGCAGTCACAACAGCTGCTAGATGAATCAAAAGGCAAAACCAAAGTAGCTATTATTAGAATTTGTTTGATAAATTGTGTATGCACTTCAGTAGTGTCTTTAGTTTTGTTCATGTGGATTTGTGAGTAACTTCAGCAGAGTCACAGATGTAACAAAGAACAAGTGTTAGCCTGGAGATGTTAGTATTGTGCATTTTAAAGTATTTAGTTTATTAATGCATTTGAGAGTCACACTAATGTGAATCGGTAGCTCTTCCTGCAGATAGGAACATTTGCCAGCACATCAGATGTGGTTTGCATCCACGAGAACTGCGTGAGATGTGGTAACAGTGGAGAGAGCACCTAACCTCTAAGTCATGGGTTCCAGCCAAATCTTTTCTTTATTGGTAGTGACTTTCTGCAGAGTGAACAGGTGGTTTTATCACCACTGGAAAAAAAAAAAGGCTTGCTCTCAGGCAGCGTTCTTCTCAGAACTAACACTTAAAGCCGTTTCAGCCTGAAGGTGCTGACTTTGCTCCTGACTATTCTGCATCTGTTCTATGAATAACGAAGGTGTCTCCTGCATTCAGTGTGGTCACTAAACATTTTCCTAAGTATTAATTTAAGGGAAAAGATAAAAACATGTAGCCACAGATTTTGGTCTAGGCAAAAGAAAAAAAAAAAAAAAGGCTCAGTGCAGAAAAGGACTGATTTTCATAGTGCCTCTGTAAAAGCACTGGCCCATCATCCTGAAGATCAATGGATAGCTTGTTTTACTTACACTATATTTTGTATAGAAAATCCGTACCATTATAGCCTCAGGGTATGGGGAGCATTTGTTGTTCTGCTTTGTGTAAGTGGGGAGCTTCCCACCACTGGACTTTTTAAACTAATCAGTATGGGGTGTTTATACCACTTGAGAGCAGTGACTAATTGTCAGAAGAGGACAAACTCTTAATCTGACTTAATACAGATGTTCATCACAAGCCACATCACCTTGCAATAAACTCACGAGGCGTGAATCAGAGTAATGTTTCCTTGTTGGCAACATCCTAAAGGGAATAACTAAAACCCGTTAGTGATATAATAGAATCTGGCATGTCACTTCAAGCACAGCAAATCAGAAAAAGAAAACTAGCCTGCAGTTACACTGATACATTATAAATAGGTGTTATTTTTACATTAATACAACAAATTAGGTTTTTTTTAAACTTTAAAAATGAGAGGCTACATTTGGGTCGAATGCATTTTCAGGACCAGTCACAACCGTAGCTGTTCTGAATGGCACAAAGACTCTGCAGGTCCAAGAGGAAGGAGCAGGGAAGGACAGGCTGGTTCATAGGGACAAAGGACCCCACCGCTGGCACGCAGA